CCCGCTGTGCCTTAGTTTCACGGCCGAAAGACGTTTCGACACGGGCGGCGCAGGTTTCACGGGACCAGGCGTCGTGTGTCCGGCTTAATTAATGGCGCAGTTTTAAAGCTGTTATAAACTGAAGATCACAGTAGCAGATTAAATGCGGGTCCATTTCAAAGGCAGGTAACTGTAATACGCAAAAGTTATTGTATTCCAAGAATGAAAATGCTTTGTTTCGCTAATTAAAAGCTATTAGAAATGTATTCAACTGAAGAACAAATAATCCCGTGACATTCATAAAAACATTTAATTAGTGTTCACATATGAGAAGGCCCGTGGCCCCTGTTAAAGCGAGAGGGAACACTTCACATTGCATTTGTCTGTGTGCGAGGCCACGAAAAAACATCCAACGAGCAAATTTTAAACGCGAAGTAAGTTTTAAACAGAACGTCACGTGCAGGACTGACCTCACCTGTTCGCGCAAGCACGTAACTTTCGGGCAAATACAGTGGCGCCGCGTGTTCTGATCGGATGCAGAACTCGATTTGTCAATTAAAACAGGAGACACAGAAATGTTTATGTGGTAGTCCCTTTGTCTCGGAAAATGCTTCAAACAAACAAATAATCATCTTTCTTTTCTCAAATTACGAGCCTGCTCTACGTATGCTCCAAGTGCAATCCTCAAGTTTCACGTCACGTAACATTTTAAACGTGAACCCAACGCCCAACCCCCTCAAACCGGATGACCGATCAAAATTAAAACGCGAGGTACCTCCCTGTTGCGGTTAACATAATACAATTTATTAAATTAATTAAATGTTCTTGCTGGCATCTATAAAAATGTCGACAGGTGAGTGATGACGTTGTATTCAAAACTAATTGTTTCCTTGCTAAATTTTTCGCATCGGAGAAGCATTGTATCTGAGCTCATTAATTCATGTTTCAGAAATGATTGAAGATTCTACATCGAGACTCACCTTCATTAATCACCGCACAATGGCCAATTTTCCGTGAGAGAATCAAAGAATGCAATTTGAACGACAGGGCAGAAGAGGCCACTTCTATCAAGTTTCAACAGAAGAACGACTCAAAGAGACTAATTCTTATCCACGCATTAAATTCACTTTCTTTGTTCTCGTAAACAAACATTCCATTGTTTCAAACACGGCTGGAGTAAAATACTTTATTTTTCGGCGCCAAGGCGTTCCTACAACAAATAGAGCGGCGTGGCACAGAACTGCCACCTGGACGTCTTCATTACCGAGATTAACGCGACACCAGAGAAACCTCGAGAGGAATTTGTTTTCTGGACGACGTGCGCACAAAAATGCATTGATAAGTCCAGCAGTTCGTTTGTAGATGCAACAAAGCTTTTTATGATCGATTTTAACGTTCCTTTGGTGTAATAATTTTCATCTACAAGATTTTTAAAACTGGCCGTGAAGTTTGTTTTGATTTGCTGTGATTAGTCGTAGACCAGTGACTAATGAACATTCAAACATTCACCACTGGCCATTTCAAAATGGATTTAGATTTTGCTTAGAAATTTAAGCGTATCATTCGCAAAGTAAGAAGCTGTTTGTTAATGAAAATTAAATAAAGAGGAAATTGAATTATAAATGGGACAGATATCAAACCGTGTCCAATTATGAACACACGGACTGATATTCCATTAATGGAATTTACTTGTTCAGAAGCAGCGATGCAATTTTGGGGTGAGCTACCGAGCAGGGCGGGGTTCAGCCCTTCGACAAGGTTACAAACGCCAAGCAACATAGGTCGCCTTTAAATAAGGAAACAGCCGATCAGGAACAGACCGCCTTCATCCACTCGACACTCTACTGGGAAACAGCAGGCATGTCTGCACAACTGCACAACAGACGAAGCGACTTTATAATTCGGGCGTCCACAGATTCAGACGACGTCAGCTGAAGGAGCAAATGCCAAAGAGACAAGAGACAGGAGACAGACGTCGGCACTGACCTTCTCCTTTCTCGGGGTTGAACTGCTGCTTGATGTACTTGAACAGTCGCGTGGTGAAGGACTGGTGGCGGCGGGGGTGGCGATGGGGGCGGTGTCGCTGCGTGGCGCGTCCGTTGTCCTGTTTCTCGCCCTCTGCATCCTGCGTCTGCTGTTGGTCCTGCTGATTGCTTTGCGTTTCGGCACTGCCCGTGTAGTTATGCTGTGCCGCCACACTGCTGTACATGACTGGTGACCGGAACGGCCTCGGGGGCCATCGACAGACACCTGGAGCAGAGAGAGGATCGGCGCTGCAGACTCACTCGACTTCCGTCTTCGAAGTCACGTGGATTTCTTTCTGGCTCGTCTCACGACACGCGACTAACGACGCACCACAAATTTCGTCCTACTCCAAATGACGTGCATTTAAAATGCTCAGACTTACTCTTGAACAAATCTTCCTCGCTTTGCGAATAAAAATTGGTTCAGTTTCTGTCCGCGTGAGCGTGTCCTGACCCCCGCCGACGCTTACTGAGACCACGTAGCGCCTTCATGTATAAGATTTGAAGCTTTCGAGGCGACTGATTGCAACGAAGTCTTGAGGGCGTGTAGTTCCTACCCACCGTTTCGCTACTTTCTCTGCCTCCATCATCAGAGTATTCAAAAAGGAAACCACAAGAGTGAAGCGGTTACAAAAATGAACTTAATTTCGTTCTGTAAACCGATTATAAAATTTGCAAAATACGACAACGGGAGCCGAGGTCCCACCTTTTGTCACCTGCAAAGGAATTAGATCCTCAGACTTGCGCCGAACTATTTACGTGTCAAATCAGCGTCGTAGAAGCTGGGGCAGTTGCGGGCTTTAACATCCCGTGCGCCGTGAGGCATCGATAGGAAGGGATCGATTTATCTGAAAGATGAATTCGTTTCCGAATGGGAATGAATGACAGCTGTAAAACCCGTGTATATGCAGCAGAGTCTCAGGTGTTTCAACTTTATTTTTGTTGAACTGCATAAAAAGATGGTGACAATTTTTATAGCACTGCCCCTGTGCTATGCAATGCAGTCCCGCAATGCAGAGGGTAGCACCCCCCCCCCAAACCTCCCCAATCGCCTTTGAACTGACGCGGCGAGAACACGCTCTGTCACCTTACCGAAACAAGTTCTCATGGCACTGCCTTCCGTGATGTTACGCTTTGCAATGTGATAAAAATTTACCGACGTTTCAGAGGTGCGTACTGCCTCTATCACCTGGAACAACCTCTGAAACGTCGGTAAACTTCTACCAGAAAACACCGCGCTACATCCCACAAGACATTAATCGTCTTACCACTGAGAACTTGGAGCACGCCACTGAATTGTGTCCGACGCTAGTCCGGATGACCTGACGTGCGGTTGAGACGGTCGTGAGGCGAGGAGGGGGTTGGAAGGAATGAGGCACTCATACGATCTCTATTCGTCGGAAGAAACCATTTGTGATATGTTGGTGCAAACAATCCTGCAACGGAACTCCTGATTCATCTGGCTCAGGACAGGACCGAGTGATGACAAATCCCTGCCAACACGCCAATGAACCTCCGGGCGCAGCGAAAGGCGTGCAATTTCCTGACGAGATAGGCGGCTACCAGCTTCTCGAGCAAGTACCGTGGTGAGTGCACTCGGCAAGTAGAGACCAGTCAGGAATAACACGCACTGCGTTGGTGTAATTTCTTCATAATTAGGAAACAGAGTCTTTAGAAGCCTACCACCCTCTCATTAGGGTCGGTAATATGGTACATGGACCAACAGTTACAGCCCGTGCGCATGCGCGGACTAATTCAATAGCCAGGCAATTTAAGCACCAGGATCTGTCGCCCAAACCATCGACTTCGCATTAATCAGCGCCCCTGGAAGCTGTGGGCTAGTTTACAAAGCTCAGAAAGACCGTGGGCCTATTACGTTGGGGGCGTGGGTCGGTGTTCAGAAACGTAATGAGCGATCAGCTGTTCCACTTAATGCAGTTTCCCAACTCTGCAATTGCGGATAATGTCTGGAACGGGAACAGAGGCACAGCTGTGGCACATCTGAAGATC